ATCTTGTAGTCAAAGGTCTTGCCGTGTAGGTGCAGAAAGGTGGGGTAAATGCGAATGTCGTAACGGCCTCGGGGAGTCAGACACTGCAGCTCCCGGAAGATGCAGATGGCGTCTCCAGTGGCCTGGATCACGTCCGCCTTGGACAGCACGTTCTGGGCAAAAGCCTACAAAAGCACACACTGGTGATCGAGCGGCAGAGCTCCTGCTCCCGGGCCAGCCAGGGCCTGCGCAGCGCCATCTGCTCCCAAGGCGACAGGGAAGGCCTCACCTCCACGGGGTCCACACCGTCCTCCTGGGTGGGAGGCACGTAGAAGCGCACCTCCATGAGGGAGACCTCGGCGTCATCGTTCTGGTGGAACTCCAGCGTCACCTCGTTTTTGCCTGTGGTGCACTGGGACACGTTACTGAGAGGTATCTCGAAGACCGGCTGGTCGCCAATGTCAAAGGAAAGCAGCTGCCCTGTGGGGAAGAGGCGTATCAAGCCACGAGCTCCTTCCCCCGGCTCTGTATAAACAACGTCCCCGCCAGACAGCAGGTTCCCTAAGGACAGGGTGCTAGGGCTACTGTGTTCACACTGTACCCCAGGGACCAGGCACAGGGCCTGACACACCGCTGGTCCTCGATAAATACATGATGAATTACAAACTGACAGGAAATCAGACACAGGGGCAGGGAGAGAGCAAAACGAGTTAAAGGCTGAACCCTTCATCCTGCCTTCTCCCCCTGAACCCCAACCTTCTCCAGGACTCACCACCAAACTTCACTGTTCCCCAGTTCCATCCCTTCACACAGAGGTCCTTCTCCATCAGCTCAAGGCGATAGTGAGTTTTGAAGAAATCAGAGAGTTTCTCAAACTCCTGTGGGCAGAGGGGAGAGGACAAGCCCAGTAAACCCCCAGTGGCCGTAACACAAACTTGAACGCTCTGGGACTACCTGCTTCTGAGAAACTGCTCCAGCACACCTTTTATCAGAAATCCGTGCTGGGGGGAGGGGTGGGTACAGCACAGCAGTAGAGTGCATGCTCAGCACACACGAGGTCCCGGGTTCGATTCCCAATACCTCCATTAACAAAAAACTAAGAAAAAGAAATCCATGCTGACTTAAATAGCTCTAAGATCGTTTAAAAAGCCTTTGAAAAAGGTGGTTTCTGGGGACTGGTGCGCAGGCTGGGGGAGGAGCAGAGTAAGGGACTCACACTGCTGGTTAGGGCCCCACAATGTTTTCCTAACTTTGTACAGCTTTTGCTTCAATGAAAGTGGAAATGAAGATGAAGTCCCTAACTCAAGCAGTTCAAAATGGAAAAAACAAAACTAAAGCATCAAGGTAAGACCTTGAACCAGGATAAAGCTCATAAGCAGAAACCACCAAAAAAATCAAAACAGTAGAAAAACTTCTGGAGTCAAGGAACAAAGAAAGTCCCGAGACTCTGACGCCCAAAGCTGAACACTGATGGCTTAACGGCCTCAATGATCCTGCCCTAAGGAGCCTAAAGTAGCAGTTGCATGGTTATCAGAAGAAAGGGCTCCACTTCTCTCAAGAAAGTTGAAAATAACAAAGATGGCAAGACAAAAAGGGGGCTACAGCCACAGGACATCTCACCGACTCCCGGAAGCCGTCATACTTGTAGACGTGGCCATTCTTCGTGAGCAGTTTAAGTCCATGACCGAGAGCCACACGGCGCCAGATACCTTCTGTCAACTCCCCGGCCTGGATGTTGTCCACCTTGCCCGTCTTACTATTCTTGAAGATGATGCCCTGGCGGCTCAACCTCAGCCGACCATCGTTCTGTTGGAAAAAGGGGCCTGAATGCACAGGGTACAGAGCACACAGAGCGGACCAGGTACAGTCCCACCCAACACCCATTCTGAGCAGGCCAGTTATCAACGCAAAAGAGGAGCCAAAGAGGAAGGGGTGAGGGCTAGCAAGGCGAGACAAGTAGCCAGGAGATGTAGATTCTAATCCGGGCTCTGGCATCCAGAACCCCTGCAGATCTACGGTTTCGAGATTGAGGACTGAGCAGCAGCTGTGTCTCTTCAATTCCGACACCCTCTAATTCTTGTAGTCTCTCTCAGTATTGCTTCTTGTTGGGGCAACACAAGTACACATCACACTGACTCCTTTTCCAAACGGAGTAACGTCATCATGAGCTCTTGACAGTGGGCAAAAAGTCTACTCCATCTCCCTCCCTCCACCGGTATTAGAAGCCCGAGCCCTTCTTACCATGGAGCCTTTCACCTCCTGATAGATGTCGTTGAACTCCAGTGTTTCTGCCATGCTGATCTGCCCCTGTTGGCCTCAACTGGGAGCTGGGCCCTGACTCCTGGGTAGGTGTGCAGATACACGGCAGGCTGGGAATCTCAATTCAAGAGAGAGATACATAAGTATGAAAGACAACACTAACCCTAACTCTCATTCTGCCCACTGATGGAGCCAAGTGGCAACCCTTGCTGTGCGCGGGATGTCTCGGGATCTTCTCCGCCTGGGAACTGCACAGCTCCAGGGGCCAGGCCCAGCCCAAGCTGGACAACCGGGCCTGAAGGGGCGCTTACACCCCAAACAGGCATCCACTCTGTCCGCCCTCCCCGGGCGCCATAGCAACGAGCAGCGGAACCCCAGGGCCTGGGGAGCCCGCAACTCGCCCGCGCCCCAACCCAGCTCAGAGTGCAGGGTTCCCCTCCCAGCGCTCCCACCCAGAGACCC